ATCAAGTACACATATTCTAAATAACCAAAAAGACATGTCTAGATGTGACTTTCTCAATGCACTTTCAGAAAATATGATTTTGAAATAGGACTTCGAATAAAGCATCCAGACTTAAGGCATTTTTCACATGTAACTCACACTTAACTGCAGTGGAAAAAATTTTCCTATGTCAAGTGTCAACAGCTCTAGTGGGGGAACTATAGTTAATGTCGACTTACTTCCACTCACATGCTGTAGGCGTCTCTTTGAAAAGAGGGCTTTCATCAGACTTTTTCCCTTATCTTTTTTGTTTCAGGTTTTCAGATACCCTTCCTATGTTATTGAACTTTTTTATCTTGGTAGTTCCAGTGTTTTTAAAATATAATAGAAAGGTGCTAAATATTTAATGATATAGGCTGCTTTTGCAAAATGTACATCTGTTAAAATGCTTTATGGGAAGGAGATAGAGGTATGGTGCTGGAGGATGAAAGTAGTCACATTTACCTATAACAGGTGTTCATGGAGTAGAATAACTAACATTTGCTATTTTGAGCAAGAATGTGTATCTCTTTAATGATTTCCATTTAGTCACAACTTCTGTAATTTCTGTTTACCACAATGACCGAGACAGAAGTATTACTGTAATTGATACAAATGTTCTCAAATTTCTAAAAGATCTATAGCAGTTTTAGAAACAATAGTAAATATAATTAATCAGGGTAAAATAGATGGTGCTTGTATACTAAATTCTGTCAAACATGTTACTGAGATAAATTATTCCTTATGAAAAATGTTGAAAATGCAGGCATTTTCATTTATACAAATAAATTTAATCATACAGGGATGAAAATGATAAAAACTAAGTATCTGCTACTCAACTTATTTTATATGAATTTTGAGAGTGTGTTGTCATGTGACTCTGCATGAAACTTTTATTTCATAGCTATTCATCTCAACACCCTTTCTTAACATTTGCTGCGTCAAAACACTGCACCCTCAGAAGAACACATACTTCTGGGAAGGGGAAAGTAATAAGAAATTGCTTTCTTAAAGATTAAGATAAAAATACATGGAAAGGTTTTGTAAAAGGTTTTAAGGAAAAGCAGGTTTTGTATTGTATTAGTCTAGGCAAGGCTTGAATGTATTAATATTCACAAACAGGTAACAACTAGTCTAATTTGTGATAGGTTTGTAAAACATTATAGCCAAATAAAACTGAAGGTCATCTCAGTTTTCAGTCATTATGGCCTAGGTGTGCAAGGATTCCATGAGTTAGTATGAGTTGAACAGATTTTACAGGTTCTATTCCAGCAACTAATTTTTAGAGAAGGCTGAGCCTTCAGACGCCCACATGATCTTAGTTAAGCTAATAACTGGCAATGTCTCCCAGTGAAATTTGCTGTCCCTCCTCCAAAGAGCTCAGGCCCATTAGGCCTGGCATGCTGACCCACCCAGACGGTCACTACTGACTTTTCCCCGGCAAGACAGACTTCCAGTTGTATTTCCAGAAGTACTGATGCATTTGTTTCACCCACACTTTCTCTTGGGCCCAGGATGTCCTTATGACCGATGGCATGTGCTCGCATTGGTGACCCAGAGTCTGGCCCGGGTAGGAGTGGGCCTGCAAGTTTGATTAGCACAGGCTCGAACAAGCAAACACGACTAGCACTAAACTGAAAGCCAGCTCTTTCCTGCCCACCCTCATTCTCTCATTACATCTCCCCACTACTCGCCTTTTAACTGAGTGCCTCCTCTGTGACAATGGGAAACGTGTGGCTAAAAGATGAACCCCTCACCGGCCAACACACGGAGACCTGAATCTGCTGCACAAAGCAAGCTTTGGAGAAGCAACTGTGTATGCTTACAGCATGAGATAGAGTAAGGAGTCCCCCACTGCACTTGCAGGACAGCAACTGCATAGTCGTGTCACCACTGGCTGCCGCATAACAGAAAACCGGAGGGTTTGGGGGGACTTCAGAGATTGCGGAGTGCAATTTGCTCAACTTAAAGATGAAGGAACTAAGGCCCAGAGAAAGTCAGAATCACAAAATTAGTTAAAACACAGGTCTAGGAATTCCAAATCTAAACTCCTTGTTGCTAATCAAACACTGTAGCTTGTTATGTATCAGTAACTCTCCAGCCGCTTATTCATGATTACTATCATATTTTAACGGCTCTGTTTAAAAATACAACTTTTAAAATTTAGACTCAAATTTTGGGAGAAAACCCTGAACAATTAGAAGTTTTTGGAATTTCTATTAAATAGGACAGTTTGGATCACATGACTGTTCAGGTCAAAATCTTATAAGTTTTGTACTTAGAGGCATAGTATATTGGAAAATTTGCCTTACAAGGGAGCATATTCTATATTTCAGAAAAAGCAAATACACAAGTGGCACATGCTGTGAAAATAACCCTTTTAAGGTTATTATCTAGTAAATAATCATGTAAATTTGATATGAGTTATTGGAATTTAGTCTAAAGTTGTATCAAGGCCATATGTTACCATGGGCAGTTTCTTCAAATGCATAATTTATAACACAACCTCCATGACTGCCTGAGAGTCCAAGGTACAATAATGAATTAATCCTGCAGAAACAGACCCTTGGAGGATGAATTAACATTTAGCTAAGGTCACGAGGGCAACTGGATTTGTAGTTTCAGGCTATTCCTCACAGAGAACTTGCCAGATGACACAAAAATCCAACACATTCCCACAGCTAAAAATCAACTCTCCAAAATGTTTAGTTTGAATATCCAGGCGTACAAGGGCCTAGTGCTGCTTACAATTTATACTGGATCATATTAAAAAATAAAAAAGTATCAACCACTGGTACTACAGCTAAGCTTTCTACATAAACACCAAGGTGGGGAGAGAAAAAGCACATCCAGGAAAAAGTGTATGAGAGATGACGGAAAAGAAGGAAGAAAAAAGACAGAGATGTGAAGGGAGAAAGAAATAAAGAGACTGACGGCCAGAGAAGCAGAGAAGGGTAAAGAAAAGAAAGCTAGAGAGATGAGAAATGAAAAAGCAGGAGGAAGCTCCCAGCTATAAGATAAGCCAGTCCTGGGGATGGGATGTACAGCTCAGGGACTACAGTTAATATCACTATACTAGTAACACTATATATACACCACACTATAGTGCTGTATATTTGAAAGTTGCTAAGAGAGTAGATCGTGAAAGTTCTCAACACAGGAAAAAAGATTTTAAAAATGGACAGAAATTAAACGATGTGTGAGCAAAGAGAAAGGAATAGAGGACGGATGACAAGTGGGGAGGAGTAGCTGAAATGATGGGGACCCATTAGTCACATATGAGCTGGGACAGAGCAGCTGTTTGTCCTAAGGTCTAACTAGACCTGTTACCAGAAAACGAAGGAAGAAGCCAGGAAAGATGTATATGTATGTATACACATTTGGATATGAACTCCCCCCTTAAATATTGCTGTGACCCAAGGGTTTACCTCCATCCCTGACCTCCTTCTGACTCGACAGTAGCTCTAAGTGCCCTCGTCCCAGCCCCAGCTTCAGCCGGACGTATGTGGATGGATGACTCTGACTGTGGAAAGTACACTTCCTGGCCCACACCAGCATATCTGACTGCTCAGTGGTCATGTCTACTCCACGTTACAGGAAGAGTGAACTTAAAAAGTGCAGAGCTGAGCTCCCCGTCTTCATGCCCCACACGTCCCACCTCCTACACATTCCACATCTGGGGAGTGGCGATACCCCCAACTGCCACGGCAGCAAGGAGGTTCTTTCTATTTTGCGCCATCTCCCTCAGATCGGCCTGCAAACGGCTACTACAACGTAGCTCCTTATGTTTCTGAAGTTGCTGGTCTTCCTAACTCCAGCCTCCTTCTCTCCTTGCTGGCCTCAACCCTAACATCAGAGTGATTTTTCTAAGAGCAAAAGCATGTCACATTACTACCTGCTTAAATGCCACCAGTGGATTTTACGACCAGGTCCAGCTCCTTAGATGACCAGACGAGACCTCCAAGACCTGGTTTTGCCGACCCCTCTGTCCTCACCTCCTATCCTCCGTAACCTTACTCACACTCCATAATTTTTAAAAATCTTTTCTTTAACTTGAAGTCTAGTTGATGTACAATGTTGTGCTAGTTTCAGGTGTACAGCACAGTGATTCGATTATACATATGTATACATACTCTTTCTCATATTCTTTTCCATTATGGTTTATCACAGGATATCGAATACAGTTCCCTGTGCTAGACATAGGACCCTGTTGTTTATAATTGTTTTTAGACTACATAAAAACGGGGCAATCTTTCCACTTCTTGCTGTCTATATTTTATGTTGATCATTTCTATATAAACTGAACATTGTATATTAAGCAGGTTTTCACTCACTTCCACAAGACAAAAGACACTGCCTATTTGTCACGCACTAGAGGTGAAGATCGCTTATTATAGCCATACCTGTTTTTTCTCCTCCTCTGACCACCCCTGGCCAAACAGGGCAACCTTATAACGTCCAACATGCTACCGTTCTTGTCCTTATGTGTCCAGGCCCTGCGTTGCTGTCCAGCTGCTTTCTGAGAGTCCCTTTCTCATGGGATATTAACATGGTGCCTGCACATAACATGGGCCCAGTAAATTCTGTCATCGCCATAATCTTCAATATAATGAGAAGGAAAAGTCTTTTTTCTCATATCCTCAAGACCTAGTCTGTTGCTAGTAAATACTAAACATTTCCTGGTGAATAAATGATTTTACTGATTCTGCCAAGTTTTATGTACCAACCAACTTGTGGGAAGACACATGATCCCTATGTTGACCCGGCATGAGAAACTGCATATTTACACAAAATCATAGCCATGTACTCTAAATTGTGTCCTATAACCTTGAATGCTTTATGATGGAAAATAGGAACAACCAGAGCCACAGATGTATCTTGGTCATCAAAGCCAAATGAGTAACTGAGTATTTTCACACACAACAAGCCCCTTGGCAAACAGCGGGCCAGAAGCATATGGGTGGCAACGGCCGGAAGCTCACCTTTTCTTCATGACCAACACGACTCCAAGAAATATAATCACGAACAGCAAGATGCCAGCGATGACTCCTGCGATCTTGACTGTGTGGTCTGTTTGTTTCTCGGGTTCTGGGACTGGTTTTGGAGTGGCAGCTCCTGAAGGGGAGAGGAAACGAGAAAGAAGACACGGTGGGTAAGGGAGAATAAAAATGTTAGCTTTTAAAAACTTTGCTGCATTTAACAGAGTCATAAGACTTATCAGAGATAGCAGACAGATGGGCTTTGATTTTTTTTCAATGGCTTTCACAGGCGCTGAAAGCAATGTAATTGTTCGCATTGCTCTTCCCTATTTCACTAAACCCCAACACAAGTTGGAAAGCACACCCACGCCTGACCCTTTTATCAGAGACTCTTCTCAAACACAGTTTTTAAAATATTTTTATTACCTCTATGGGCTCCCTGATCTTTCTGCCTTTTAGAAACTTGCTACCAACACAATAGACATCCTCAGCCTTTATCCAAAGTTGATTTGCTGGAACATTTCCCCCAATTATTTTTCATAAATGAAGCAGTAATTCCATAACAATATTAGCCCAAACACCTGGAGAAGAGAGATAAGCTCACTTACTGTGCATTTTACTAGCAATTGTTTTTTAACACAATAGAGATTTTTCTCCCCCCTGCCTTTGAAAATCTAAATCTAGGTCACATCTGGTAGGCAAAAGACTCCTTCTAAGCAATTTATTCACAAAGTGGGAAGCAGACGATGATCACACTACTGGCACCCACATTTCGTATCTGTTTAAATGAGATAACCAGGGCCTTCCAGTGGCCACTGTCTTAGCTCTCCTGCTTTCCCATTTTCAAAACACTATCTGTCCTGTTTACAGTATAATGTGATGGCATGTCAAATCTGTGTCTGATGAAATATCCATTTCCTCTGCTAAATGAGTTCAGAATGAAAAATATTAGGACTGAAACGTTCAATTCACTAAACAGAATCCACTTTTGAAGGGCTTCTCCTTTTTTAATCAGAACACGACAGTCCTTGGCATCTGAGCCATCACGTCCCCTCCCTAGGGAGACAGGTCATTGGGAAAGTAGGAATTTTATGTCCAAATTTCTCATGTTAGAATTTTCTTCTTGCTTTTGTTGGTAAAAGTGAAATCAACACTGACTATGGTACCAGCCCTTTCTACTCTTCCACTGGGCTTTGCATTCATGCTTCATCTGATTCTTGAAAAAGTTAACCATCGCTGTCTCCTGTGCACTCCAGGCAGGGCTTAGTCTAAGATGAGTCATCGCAGAGAAGCAGGGTGTCAAGCTGTAACTTTCCATCTGTTTCCACTGGAACATATAAATGTTTCTTTCAAAAGTTATTCATATTAAGATTTTATATGAGACTCTGCACCCTGAACATGGCCGTGGCCATCAGACAGACGGAGCTGGTCGAGACTGGGGAGAAACATAAGGCAGGAGACGGAGGGCCACGATCACCTGAGTTTCCACCCCACGTGTACTTTCCAATCAAAGCAACGGTTGCAAGGAGAGCAGTGGTGATGTGAAAAATCACACCTTATTAAATACAAACCCTGCCGGATATAATGACTCTTTACAGGCCATTTTTATTTCTGACCACTTCAGGAGGATGTTCTGCTATTTTGTTTGAAAGAATATCCCTCAAACAGTTGTCCAAATGAACCTTGAAACTATTTACTGTTTTTTATTATAATAACGTCTGAAGTATACCACTACAATAGGCCACTGGAACATACAGCCAAGTGGTAGATTTGGAGGATATTGTTACTTTGAATAAACTGCTAAGAAAAATTTAAAGATACATCGTGTATGTTTTAAAAGATGAATAAAAGGTGAAAAAAGCCATTCATGTAAAAATAACATATTTCAAATTCACAAAACTGACAAAAAGTCCAATGGTTTTCAGTTCTGATTTTTTTTTTTATCCAATTTGAAAACTTAACTTAAAAAAATAAAATCTAATTGGTTTTATTCTTCCAAATGCTGGCACATTGGGGACCATTCCATTTGCCTCACTAGGGATAGAATGCAAGTTCTCCAGATATGTTTTCTAAATAAATGATTCTCTAAGCTTTTTGTAACTAAGTTATTCCAGTAAATACAACACTCAGGGAAGAAATTATTTAGAAAAACTGGATTCGGCTTAAAAATTTAAATTAAAAAAATTACAAGGATTCAACTTATACATTGTAAACACTCCATAAGAGAAGAGCGTCCTGTTAATGGTCACATGTTTGCTTCTGTTACCTAAACGACTAGTTACGTTGTGCTTTAGCCTTTTTCCTAAGCTCTGTGAGAAGTGAGGCGTGACCCTACCAATCCTTGGGTT